TACCGCTATCTTACGCCCTGTATGCGTTCGCGATCGTAGGTGTTAGCGGCGTAGCGTGAGGAGGAAAAAAGGATGTCGACGTCGCGTATCCACTTCGGTCGACGGGATGTCTAGGATCTCTAGGAGTTTTGAGTTCTGATCGGTCGTGCGCCTGAGAAGAGCCTTCCGATCAATCTCTCTCGATATCAATTTTCTGTCGGCTTTTATACTAAATTATAACAAACAGTTCGACTGTTTGTTGACCTTGCGGTTATTCCGCGCGCGGTTGTTCGGCGTTTTGTAAGTAATTGTTTCGGATGTCGTGACGCTTTCCGAATCGTCACATAATCATTAATTATGTCAATGATACTTGTTATGCAAAACTTCCCAGACCACAACACTTACTTTCTAGGTTTGATAATATCCTCCAAGAATATGAGGTCCTTGTATAATGGCCACATTGATTTGTATGTAAACTGGTCTGCTCCAGCTCCAGATCTTGGCATGGACTGCACAATTTTTCTCCGCTCTGTCCCAAAGCGCTGTCTCAGAACATAAAATCTCTTCTCGGCAGCAGGACCTGACAAATATATTAAATTTCATTGCAGTAAAATACAAATTATCAGGTGTTATATTATCTTTTTATAGTATACCAAAGTTACAACGTAACCTACATCTTGCCTAACATATCCTTTATTGATATGACACCTCATTCATTGTCTATATTATGGTTGCTTTCCAACAAGAGACACAAGTCGACACAAGTATCATCCTATTTTTGTTCTCACTAAATGTGAAACAAAAATAGAATGATGTTTGTGTCGACTTGTGTCTCTTATTGGAAAGCAACCTATAACAACAAATCGCTATAAAACCATATTAATATTTCCAAGTAACAAAAATAAACTTACCTTCTATTGGATTAGTTAGGCTCGCGCCAACCTGCTTCCATGCTTCGGTTTTTACGTCTCCATTGGCATACAACTTTTCAGTCTTGTTGTATAAAAACCGATTTGCTCGAACCACAACAATTAGCTCTCGATCAATGCTAATATCTTCTTCAAAAAAGAGCTCTGTGTCCGACATATTTGTAGGTTAGAACATATAATTGCACTTACTTAATTTCTCTCTCTCTCTCTCTTTTTTCTTCATTGCAGACTTGTCATAGTGGCTCTTTCCCCATCTGACTGCACTAGCTAGCTAGCTTATATCGCGCGCGCTTTCGTGATGTAATGATGAGTTTTCATCGGCTGAGAGTAAAGAAGTAGAAAGTAAAGAAGTAGGAAACGGAATTCAACCATTTCGCTTACAGCCTTACTCTACACCCTAATACACCAGAAATACTAGCTTACTCCAACGTTTACAGCCTTAATCCAATACTCCTACTGCCATTGTAGAAGACGCTTAAGAGTATTAAATTCCAATGTTTATAACGACCCGGGGGCACGGGTTCTCGTTATCCGATCGAGCAAAAGTTTGGAAAGGATTTCTTTTTTGTCAAATGGAAACTTTTTGGAGGGTGCCGCAGAAAAAATTTGAAAGTCGAAAAATAAGGACCACACTAATGCAATAGCCATCGTAATTGATTAATGCTCGTATTCATAATTCATAATCCAGGCCTTAATTGAAGGCTTCTTTAAATTTATTTGTAGATGCTCTACAGATCATTCTATTGACTATAGAGAATCTGAAGATATACTTATGAACACCTTAAATATAAGGTCTGATTATGAATATGGATATTACTTTTTACGGAAAATATCAATGAAAGATTTCATTTTTTCACCTTTTCGCACTAAATTTTTCACTTTTTCGCGAGAATTTTCACTTTTTCATGAATTCATCCTAGGTGAAAAGATACATGATCGACCCCCTGAATAGAAATTGCACGTCAGAACTGTCTAGTACTTATACCAATTATATAAACAGTAACTTAGACGAAAAAGATTACACAATAACGAGATAGAAAATCCTGAATAGAAATTGGATATCAGAACTGTTTACTCACTAGTAAATTTGTGTATAGATAATGATGATGTAATACACAAATTTACTATCTAATGGATAAACAGTTTTGACATCTAATTTCCATTCTGGATTTACAATACATTGTTACTAGACAGCGTTTGATATTCAATTTCTATTCAGGATTTACCGAATTTTCCATCTTGTAACTGTGTAATTTTTTCGTCTAGCCATTAGATAAAACGGCGTTGAGTAAACCATATGTAGCTATAGTAGTAATATAAAACGTTCACTACCGACTATAGTAGTGGTCTAGTAGGTAAAGTGTCAAACTCAAGAGGTCTCAGGTTCAAGTCCCGAAGGATAAAATGAATTTTTCCAATAGAATGGAAATAATACGTAATGAAGAAGAATTACAGGAAACCAAACTCCATTGGATCACCTCTCCTAAAGAGAGAGAGAGAGAGAGAGAGAGAGAGAGAGAGAGAGAAAGAGAAACTCTAATTAAAAAAACCTATCTAGCCACTAGACATCCATGATACAAAAATTCTGAGATAAGAAAACTGTCTAAAAATTATTAGGTATTCCTGATATAGAGAAAAAATGAAATTATCGAAGAGAAATATTTTTTTTGTTTTTACTATCTACTCATTGTCTACTGCAGGCTTGATAGTTACAAGTTATTTTTTTATATCTAGCTACTAGCTAATTTTTCTAGTACAGTTACTAGAAGAAGTGAGCGTTACATTCCTACCTAGTAGCTAGCAAGTACTACTAGCTAGTAGCGACATAAGACCCAACTTTTCTGTGTCATTACTAGACAATCACTACTCTCTTAAAGTGAATCAGCGAATAGTCACTGATATCAGTTGTGAGTATAGCACTGAGCACCTTCAGTGCTATACTTATAACTGCAATCAGTGTATATTCACTATTTTCAGTGATGTTTGACTGATTCATTTTAAATTAATTAAATTGGTAATTACACTGTTCGACAAAAATCGAATTTTTTTCGTGACATGAGTGCGAATAGTCATTTCAGATGTATTCTTGCCTGCTGAACACAAATCCGTCGTCCAAATTTGCCTATCACGTCACAATTTTGAGAAAAATGGCGTCAAAGAGGTAAAAAATGACGCTTTTGAGGGTTTTCGTGACGTTGTAGCATTAACAGTAAATTTTTTTCGACATTTCGTTAATGCCACGCTAAAATATTAACCTTTAGCTTGAAAATGCATTTTGTTTCGTTTTCAAATAATTTTTGTTTTCAACATATAGCCAATCAGAAACAGTCTTTGGCTTCAATATTACTGGGTAGAATAATTTTTTTTTGCAAAAAGGCGAATAGTTATTTCCGATGTACTTTTGTCTGCTGAACACGAATCAGTCGTCTAAATTTGGCTATCACGTTACAGTTTTGAGAAAAATGGAGTAAGATACAAAATAAGAAGATTCCCGCACTCGGCTTATTGGCCTCTTTGACGCCATTTTTCTCAAAATTGTAACGTGATAAGCAAATTTGGATGACGGATTCGTATTCAGGCAAAAATACATTTGAAATGACCAGGGTTAGGTAAGTTAATTTTTTTTTTAACTAAGTTAAGTTAAAGTTAACGGATTTGAAAATTTAATTTAAGATAAAGTTAACATAATGAAATTAATTGAATTAAAAGTTAAGTTAATAAAAAAAAAGTAATTAAAAAGTTAAAAGTTAAATTTGTTTCATTTCATTGTTTGACTTTAGGGTTT